GAATAAATTAAATTCTGCTGTACTCAGAGTAGACCACCCTCACTTTTAATAGTAAGAGAAGGACAAAACTGAAGTGTTGAACAGTGTTTGCTTAGCAGGCAGCCAAACAAAATTCTCACTGTTTAAGTCAACCAGTCAAACTGTAACAGGGCTTTTGTCATCTTCAATCTCCTCTGAAGACAGTGGGTGAGGAGATGCAACACCCAAGCTGACAGGCAAACAAAAGCTGTACTTGGATGCATCGACACCGTCCCGCGGGTTGTGTGTGAGGCACTTTGTGATTCCAGAGCGTGGAGCAGCAAGATGTCAGGAGCATTCCACGCCCATCTGCTCTGGAGCAAAATCATAACAATCCAACCATAACTAAACACCCACCACTGTCAGTGTGGGGGGAAGAAAGCAAGTGCCTGGGTGCCTCTGACCCTGCCTGCACTCAACAGTGTGTAACAGCCACCCCGAAGCACAGAGCGGTGGGGAGCAGAAGGGCTACGTCCAGGAAGCCAGGTCAGGCTGCAGCACTCTCAGCAAACCTCAAACATAAAGCCTGCCTTTATCTTCTGTGAAAAGCCTGCCTTCATCTTCTGTGAGGGATCACCAGCACGTGGCTGTACCTCAAGTGGGCTGCGTTTCAGAGGAGCGACGTCCGGCCCTAGGCATTTCACCACCCCTTCCTATGTTGATAGGCAGAATGCAGAACCAAAACTCCTGTGTCTGTGCTACACCCTTGCCAGAGCTCCCTGGCCCTCCCAACTGGGATACAGCTTCTAGGAACTCCTTGCATTGTGTCACAGGGATGACTTTTTTGTTAGGTATAATCTGTTTTTTAATTTTATTTTTAGGGGAAAAAAACCACCAGGGCAAAGACATCTCAAGGGAGCAGCAGAGGCTAAAAATAGGCATATTATCACTTTCATTATCAGCCATGTCTACACACACACAGTAAGTATAACCATGACTGACTGGTAGATGAGGTGTTTTCCCCTCCAGGTTAGTTTTAGGTTGCAGGGGAGTGTGTTTCTGTTCAGCTGAGAGTCACAGAGAGGGGATGGCACAGGTAGGAATTCAACTGTCACAAACCAGCTTAAACAAGGCCATCTGAAATTCTTCTCAGCAGGCCAGCTCCTGCAAAGTTGTAACTCCCCAAAGCAAATACTCAGCCTATTACAAGTTTCAAAAATAAAGGCTACTCGTGCAAAGATTTCAGAAGGTCAGACACAACTCAGCGTGACCACAGAAGAGCAGAAAAGCAACCAAGCCCCCTCCGCCCGACTCACCTAGAATCCTTCAGTTTAAAAAGCAAGCCCCAAACTGCCACCAAAACTCAGCATTTAGGCGCGCTGGCTTGCTCGCCAAGCACCCCTTGAGCGCTCAGCCTGAAGCCCAGCTTTTCTGGCAAGTGCTGTTCCTGCTGTCTTTGGGACACCGGGCGGAAAGCAGCCCTCTCAGAACCACCTTTCTGCAGGAGGCAGGCGGGGTGGGATGGGGGCCTGGAG